TTGCCCTTTCATTGTGACTTCCCAGGGCAGCTGAAGGCAGCCTGGCTGAGTCTGAGTGGAAAAAATGACAGTTTAAGGAGAAGTTAGCACTGACTTTGTATATTGTGTCCCAGTTAACTCCTGCGTGCAGAAGTGGAACTTCAGTTGGAATGCTGCTCTGGTTCTGTGCAGCTTGTTGGCAGCATCTCTGCATTAGCAGTAACTGTACACAGCAAAGCCACGGCACCATTTAGCAGATAAATGGACACACATCCGTAGGGCTCATAAACTGGTGAAGCTCCAGGGATTTCACTCCTCCTGTTAATGAGTTGCTGGAATTAATTACAAATTTGATTGATGGTATTAACCTGTGTGTCGCTGTGTTTAACACACCCTGAAAGCAGGCACGTCGAACATGACTCGTCCTGCCAGGCTCAGCATGCCGGGGCCCTGAGCTGCAACGAGGATGCACGTGGGTGTGTGTTGAGGAGTTTTCTTAAACAAGGCCTCGTGGGCTGCGCTACAAGAGCTTGTTTTTGTGCTCTCACCGTGCTGTGCGACTGCCTAAAAAACACTGCCATCTTCGTACCTGTGACTGACTAAACTTCCTGCCTTCCGTGTGAACTTGTGAAGACTTCGTTTTCTTGCAGCTCTGTTCCTGACAGTTTGTATGTCTGGGAGCCCAGGTTTTGTTCAGCTCTGTGGGCAGTGCCAGCAGGGCTGTGTTCTCAGTGCGTCTGTGCTTTGTGAACTCCAGAAAGACGTCTCATAAGCTCTGCCATTATGGCACAATAATTGTCTGTAAAGGTGGCTGCAAGTGTGAATTTACTCTACTTATTTCTTATGGCCAGCGAAGCTTTAGACAGCAATTTAATCATTATTACTGCTACGGTACAGCTGCTCTCTGGAGGAGCTTAAACCGTGTCAGAAAGGGAACCAACATAATGAGTCTGACAGAATTTTGGAAGGAGCAATTAAATTTAGGATAATGAGTTCCTCTGAATTTTTACTGTTATCACAACAATTCACTTCATTGCAGCCTGTTCATCTCTGGGTTCAAAACCAAAATGTGCAGTTGGGAATGGGGCTGCACAGGTATGTCCTGCCCCAGGTTTATTTAATGTACATGTAAAACACAGGACAGAAGAAAGCAGCATCCCCCCTCAGTGTGTGTCAGTCTTAAGGCTGCGTTGCTGCTCTCCACACTGCCCAAATCCAATGCTTGTGACACACGAAAGCAGGAGACTGAGAGTCCTGAGACTGCAGGAACTTCTGTCTCACTCCTTTCCTGCAGTCACAGAGAAGACCCCAGTCCAGTTTCAGTTGCATGGATTATGCTGTGCTTGATATTTGGGGCCTGAATGAGTAAAGGTAAGTCAAACTTCATTGGGTTGGCTCTTATTTACAGAAACACATGGCAGGACTGAAACGCAGCTGGCTGCAATGACAGATCAGCACTGTTCTACTTGACTTTTATTTTGCTCTGATGCATTGTGGGGTTTTTCACACCTCACTGCAGCTGCTGGAGCTGGTAGCTTCACAGGGAGAAGCTCTGGTGGCCCAGTACTTCCACAGCCAAGTGTCAGCCTTGTTGCTTTTATTGTGCTGCTGTATTCTGCAGGTTGCAGCCCGGGTCGTGCGGGGCAGTCTTCCATGTATGCAGTGCAGAATCGTTGGTAAGAGGGATTTTTTTATGGAGGGCAACAGATACTAAAAGACAGACTGGTTTTTGTATGCTGACAAGCTGGAAATTAGAGATGTTTTGTGGCTGGTGCCATTAAAACAATAATAATAGAAAGGCAGTCCAGCACATGAACAGACTCTGCAATGTGAGGTGCACATGTTCAACTCTGAGCTCTGCTGTGTGTTAGGAAAGCTTCTCAGGCTTTGTGCTTCTGCCACTGTGCCCACAAAAAAATGAGTGTCCCCAAACGCAGAGTTCCAACCACAGAAGTGCTGACAGAAGGCATCTGACAGTGGCAGGCAGTGCTTCTGGTCTCTCCTGATGGGATCTGCATCCACTTGTGTGGCACAGAGAGCAGTAATTCCCATATCTCAGGTGCTGAATAGTGTGATATAATTAATAAAGGTAATGACAATTTCCTCACTGAATACCAATTGATGCTCTGCCTTCTAACGGAACAGAGATTGGGAATGGAAAGCAGATGGGATGATGGCACATAAAGAAATTATTTCTTTGATGTAAAAGGCATTAAGGAAATGTTTCATCCATGGCAGGTTGAAAAATGAAGCAGCTTTCATAGAAGCCATAAAAATGTCTTAATCTATCGCTGTTCCTTCTTTACTGGAGACACGAGGGAGCTCAGTTCAACACAAACTCCCCAGTGCCTGTGACCTTAAATGTCACTGCTTCACTCATGAATTAACTGTGTTCTGGGGATGCAGCCACTCTAACAGGATTTTTTCCATCTGAAAAGATGCACTGGTGAGAAAGGAGAATGCAAACTGGCTCCAGTGCAATGCAGTTAAACAGAAAGGAGCCCCAGACAAGGCAGTTCCTCTGCTTACTCAGCCTGCTCTGCTCCACAGAGCATGGGTTGCTGAAACCCTCTGTGATATGTGGCGTTTGAGTTGTGCTGCTGTGAATGAACAGCCTCTCTAACAGCTGCTGCGTCTGATGTGGGTTTTGTTGCTGTTTTTTATGGTGTGCTGAAATGCCAGGGTAAAATCTGAGCTGCCTCATTGATCAGTTCAGTATTAGGAAAAAATAAGGATGCAATTAGGATTTGGAAAAATTGGATTAAATACCCATTTCCTCATAGAAAGATATTAAGGCTCCTCCTGTTTCCCATTAAGCTCCAAACGGGAAGGCAGGCTGGACAGCAGCCCTGTAATTGGTGCAAATGGCACAGGACATGATTGGAAGCACATAAAGAGCCCAACTTCAGCTAATCTGATTCATAGCTGCAGGAGGGCCACATCTTCTCACAGTTTTACAGCAGGCGGAATTGCCTTTGTCCTTGCTTCTCCTTCCCTGTTCAGCCCAGACCTGTTTCTGGATTAAATCTTAGCAGCTTCTCACTCTGTTGTCCTCCGTTGCTGCCCCTCCTGCCCCGTGGCATTCGGGTTCTTCTCCCTCCCCTCTCTCTGTCATGCCTCAAAACTGTTCCATTCTCTGAGATCTCGGTGTGTGAAAAGAACCAAAGAGCCATCTTGGTGGGAGGTGGGGAATGCTGAGAGAGCCTTTGTCTCTGGCACAGGGCCCGCTGGACCTGGTTGTGTATGGATGTTCGTTCTGGAGCCTTAATTGTGAGATGCCATCACCTCTCTGGTCAGTGAATTGTGAATTGGTTCTTCATCCCTGAATGAGCTTGGAAGTGCATGTGGCTGGGATAGACAGAAATGAGCAGGGGAGTTGTTAGGGTTAGGTTGGCTGGGTCTGCTGGTACCGCTGACAGTCTAATGATTGCTTCCAAGCAAGGAGATGAAAGGGAACAAACCCACCCACTTGTTTTGCCGGGGTCCGGCACTGCATCCTCTGTTACTCTTCCCTTATGGTTTGCTTTGAATTACTGATGAATTGGCATCACGATGTCTCTGACGAAACTCATTTAATTAGTCCCCTCATAAATGGCCTTCCCACAAGGCAAAGCTGTTGTCCCAGACAACACTCTTAGAAAAACAATTTTTTTCTTGCAAAAATGGATTACATATGTACTTACTCTTCCCCGTATGCCCCTGACAAACGATGATGTTCATACGGTCTTTGAAAAGCTTTCTTAAGATAAAACCATCAGTATACGAAAACTGTTTCTTAACAGAAGCAGCATTTGTCGAAAAGCCTTCATTGGAAGAGCGGGAGTAATTAGGTGCAACATAATCTAATGACTCAAAGCAACAAACAGGCATCGGCGCGGATCTCCTGGGAAAGGAGCGCTGGGACGGAGCAGCCCCGCGCTGTGCTCCCTGCAGCCCGGCCGTGGGCTTCCCCTTCATCTCTCAACTCTGTGAGCGCCGTGGGGCAGCGGCCCTCAGCCTGCCCTGGCTCTGTGTACGGTTTCTGGAGGTAGTGGTTGACCACAGCTCTCGGTATAACTGGAAGCAATTCCTGTTTTCTCGGCGCTCCCCTGATCCTTTATATGCTGCTACGTGTGAGTGGGGGTAACGCAGAGTGCAAATGAGGGACGGCCCTTGTGATCAGTTGTGCAGAAACAGGAGCTGCACAGCACATGTGTTCCTGCAGCCATTGCTGCCCTGCTGCATCCCAGGGTCAGTCTGTCCTGTGGCGATTTTCAGTGCCTCCTGGAGGTGTCTGAAGATCAGAAGTTAATTTTCATGCGTTTTTTATAACCGCTTTGTAATTAATTTCTCTGAACCAGTTTGTTTTTCTGCTGCCAAACACTTCAGTGCTTATATGTAAATTTTCAACATCTGAAGCCTTCTTCCTTTAGAAGAGAATACAGGGCAATCATCAGATAAAAGTCATTACATATTCAGAGCTACTCTGCTCCACTGATAATAAAACATTCTTAGGGGAAGGTGACCTTTCTACAATAGACTTATTAATGTCAGGACTTCAGAATTGTCTTTTCTCATTACAAGTCTTACCAAAAACATTAAAAAGACTGAAGTTTATGATCTTAAAGATATGTCAACGCACAACCATTAATGAAATTTTCACAGAATGTTATTTATATAACCTATTTCTTGCATTTTATCTGGCAAGTATTCCAAGTCAGTCTTTGTTTAAAGGGAGCTCCACATTCATGACTGCTCTATTCCTGACATCAGCCTGGCACCCCCTGATAAGGCTCCTGTCTGTACCCTGGAGGTGTCCCACACCTGCTGGGCTGAGCTCCAGAAAGGGCTGTGCTCCCATGAGCACCAGGGCAGATTTTAGATGAGGATATGCAGAATTCAGCCAAGAGATAACCTGCAAACACCACTGTGTCATTTAAAACTCTGTAAACAAAAGCTACTGGTGCCAGTTGTAAGCATGGGAGATGGGTAATTTCTGCTTATTCACCACAATTAACAACAGCCTTTGTTCATGGACTCAGGTGGAGAGAGGGGGATGCATTCATCCAACAAAGGCAGCTATAGCAGAAGTGCTACGTCAGTGCTTTGACCAGAGATGAAGCACCTGGAGGAAGGCAGGGCCAGCCCAGAGGAGCTCAACTGCAATGTACCTGAATGACCAGGAGGGCTGGAGCCAGGATCCACCTCTTCCCAGACCTCCTCAAAGGGCTGGCAGTGGAGGTGAGAGTCTCTTGCTGGAGATCCCTGCCTACCCGAGGCCTGAAGGTAAGCAGGTTCTTTCATTTGTTTCTGTGCCCACAGCTGTTTATTTGAACAAGTCCTCACTTGGACCTCACTTGGACTGCAGCCTTGGACCTTGCTACTCTGCTGTCATTGCTGTGCTTCCCATGGTGTTACAGCAGATCAGCACCTTCTTCCCTCTGCTACTGCTGAGCCCACAGCCAGGTTGGAGTAGGTTTATTAACAGCAAAATCCGATTTCCGTTGTTCTCTGTGTGCTGGGAGCTCGTGTCTGCAGAATTAGTCTCAATGCAGCCAGGAGAGCTCCCAGAGAAAGATGAGCACTGTAGTGACAGTGAAAAGCAGTTGCCAAAAGACAGTTTTGAACATTTTAACTGAAATGTGTGACAGGATTTAGCAAAGGAAGAAAAAGAGAAAATCAGGACTTAATTTCCTACGGGCTTTTAGCATTCAGAAAGTTGGAAGGTGAGCCCGTTCATCCTGTGGGTTGTGGCAATACATGCAAGTGACAACTTGATTGATCTCTGGCATCGGGAGGCATGTGTGCCAGGAGGACATCAGCTCATTTGAATTCGTGGTGTTTCTGTGCCATCCTGAGCCCATGCGCTGAGCCGAGGGTAGTTCTGTTGAAGCCCCATCTTCCTGCTGCTGTTCTGCTCTCCACCTGCCCCAGCTCACCCAGCAGCTCTGCTGACTGCCGTCACTGTGGGAACTCAGCCCCTACACATTGGTTACTTTCCAGAATCAGTATTTTTAAAGAGTGAAATCATTCATCCTACTGGAATCGTGATTCAGACAATGATAGCATCAATATTAATGTAATAATCAAACTAATTTCAGTTGCTAAGTAACCCACCATTCCCACTTGAACCAAAACAACTGAAAATGGAGAAAACCTCATGTGATAAGGGTGTTACGGTGGGGGGAGCCTCGGCCTGGTGCAGCTCTGCAGAACAGCTGCCTGTGGCTCTGCTGGCAGCTGGGGGTGCTTTGGGCCATCCTGCACTGCCCAAATTCGGTTAGCACAGACAGTCAATCAAAAACTGTGAAGAATCTGTTTGGTTGTTGGTTTTTTTCCCCCATGTTTCTGAAGACTGACTGTTTTTATTCCAAAACAGTTTTGTCAGAGAAATTCCAGAGCCTCTTCCCCTGTTTGAAGGTGATCTGGTGGAGCTCAGCACGGCCAGCGCTGTGCAGACCTGGCATTAACAGACAGGAAAAGGGCTTTTTTTCAGCAGCTTCTAAACAACAGACTAAGAACTTTTAGAAGAGGGAAGGCTGTACAAATGCTTCCTTTGTGCTGTTGTTTTTTTGTTTGTTTTTTCCCTGTTACGCGTTATCTTGAGAAGCCCAAAGAAGTCTGTTTATCTAGGAAATAAGATTTGGTTTTAGCTGCGGATGCAGGCAGGGGCTGGGAAGGGGTACGGCAGCCAGCTGGTGCAGGAGGGAGGGAGAAAAGAGGTCATTCATTATAATTTGTCCTCACGGTTGCCAGCAAAGCAGAGGAAGGAACATGTCCTCTGGGATTCCCCAGCTGGCAGGAACATCTTTGCAGGCTGACTTCCAAACACACCAGCAAATGGAAACAAAAATATCTATTCACCAGAGAACTGCAACTTCATGGATGTTGCTTTAATCTGAAGAGCTGCATAATAATGAGAAGTAGAAGAAAAACAAGATCACAATCTCCTAGAAGCAAGGAGCACGTAGGAGCATATCCAAAGTACTTTTATTTTATTTTCAGGGTTCACCAGCTTTCATGCCTTTTCTGGTTCTATTTTATTCTACTTTCCTCCTCCAAAAATCCAGTCCCTTGTGATCCCAGCGCTGAGCAGACCTCGCTGTGTCTGTGGTGGCCAACAGGATGTTTCTCCATTTACAGACAGCAGCTACCTCATTTTTCCACTGATTGTAATTTCCTCCATCTCTATAATCAGCTCACCTAATGCAAAAGCATATCGATCTGCTCGCTCCTCTCTCCACGATGACCATCCGCTGCAGAGCGCTGGCTGTGCAGCCCCCACTGTCCCACTGCTGTGTTCACCATAGGTCAGGTGAGACTTCTCTGACCCCGGGAGGTCCCCCGTGCTCACTATTGAACAGCTGCGTGCAGACATCACCCTGACGGCCTTTATTTGCACATGGGGCGGAACGGGCAGTTCTCTGTCACTGCTCCGGGTCTTCTGATGCTCCTGTAGCATTACTTCTAAATAACTGTAGTCGGTCATACTTTGAAAAACGCTGGCCAGCCTGGGTGCAGAGACTCTCCTCAGTTTCCGCTCGGATTTGTTGCCGCTAAAACACATGGGACGGTGCCCGGCTCCTTTCTCTGCCCCACTGTCTTGTCGTCGCTCAGCTTGACTGGCGGCTGCCAGAGTGCGGAGCGAAGTGCCGTGCCCAGGGCTGCAGGGGCAGCGCTAGGCTGGATTCGGCTCCGTGCAGAAGGAGGGAGCGGCTGAGCGCCAGGAGCTGCGGGTGCCCCGCGCCGCCGCCTCCTCGTGCCGGCCGCTCTGCCGTCAGCGCCCCGCGGTGCCTCGCGGCGATGGCGGGGCGATGGCGGAGCGGTGGGCGCTGCTCGGGCTGCTCCGTCTCCGGGCTGCGCTGCGGGAAACGCGCCCGTCCGGGGCTGCGTGCGTCGCTGCTGCAGCCTGCGGCTGCTGAATGTGCTGGGACTGAAGTTAAGTCCTATGGGGAATGACTTTGATCGCGATCTCCTTTATTTAGCCTTAATCCCGGCTTTGTACTGTAGGGGAAACAATAAGATTCTCCCACTGCAGATATATTTTGCTTCCCGCCCCCTCAACCCGCAGCCCAGCCGGCGTTGCCCCCGGCCCACACCGCTGGGGCAGCGCTGTCTGCGGGCACAAGTTGCGTTTTGCTGCTGTTCTGCTGGGGGAAGCTTTGGCTTCCTGGGTGATTTGAGCAGCTATTGTCTACGCGAGAACAAAGTCAGAATAACCATCCCTGCCAGGCGCTGTTACAAAAGAGAACATTGCGTTCCTTGCAGTTCCTGGCAGTTTATCATGTTCGTTTCTTGTATCTGTGTGTGTCAATGTCCTGATCAATTTTATTGCAGCTGCCTGTGGGTGGAATATTGCTATGGGTAGTTCTGATTGGGATTTAGGCTAGAAATAAATAGTGACCATAAGTGCAAACTTCAAAACACTGGGGAACAAATAGCAGCCATAGAGCCACGTGGTCGTTATTACCTTACAATATTCACTTGTGCTCTGTGTCAATGTAACCTGGTGCTTTGTGGGCCACAGCTGCTTCTCTGTGCACTCCTGATGCCAAGAGATTTGCACAGCTGTGACCCCACGGCGACTTCTGGCCAAGACCACCTTCCTTCTGCTCAGCAGCACAGCATCTGTGAGCATGAAACAAATCCTGAAAGTAGCTTTTGAGGCATAACGGTGTTTGAAGTGTGCAGGAGGTGGGCACTGGGGGTGAGTCCCAGCACTGCTTGGCACATCACAGCCCTGTGCTGTGCTCAGACCCACAGCCGTTGTGCAGCAGAGCACCCAGAGCAGCGGTAACGGCGCCCAGCAGTGGGCTCTGCTCAGCTCCACAGCCTGATTGCATCATCTTGGGCAGCACTGTCACCTTCAGCCTGCTGCAATTTGTAAGGTCTGTGTGGGGAATGCAAATGAGAGAAAAGCGAATTTTGTCCTCCAAAAGATGTAGCAAACAATTTTCATTTTCCTCACAACTGTGAGGAATGCAGAGCCGCAGTGTGTGCCGCTGGATGTTTTCAGCCTGCAGGCTTTGCTCCAGCTGCTTTTCTGCCGCTGTTTCTTGAACTGCTCATTCATTTCTGCTGCTTCTCACAGTGATGTCTCCATCCATGTAATTGCTACATCAAAGCAAGGCCAAAGTGGTGATTGGTGTAAGGGACTTGCACTGGAGGCAGCCGATGCTGCCTATCACAAAACAGAGGAGGAAATTGGTATGGCGGTGTTGTCTAAGAGACATGAGTGCATATTGCAGTATCAGCGTTGTAGGTATTTGTGCTTGTATCAAAAACAGCGCAACCCAATTAAAAGAACAAATCGTTTCAATACTGAATTCCTGGAATAACACTACTGCAAAATGAGCCAGGGCAGAAGGGAGGAGCCCTCCTTCAGGGGGGAGCACGGAATCTGTAGGCATCAAAGGTTAAAATTTAGAGCTGCAAATTGCCACAGAAGTTACACAAATATCCCTTGCTCACATCTGTTGCCAATGCCTGGCTTTTAGTGGGATCTTTTCACAGCAGCTCAGAGGACTATGGAAGTCCCTCTGTGTGGCAGCCCACAGGACAGAGAAGCACAGTGCAAGTGAGCCCACATCCACGAGCTCAGAGCTGTGTCAGCCCAGAGCTGCTCCCAGGAGCGTGCGCCGCCACTGTGCCTGGCACTCCTTGGTCCCCAGGATATTGAGCTGCATTATTTCCTGGGAAATGGATACCTTCCCCAGAGACAATCATTCTAACCCAGTTCCAGCAGCTTTCCAATTACCTTTCATCACACTAGTTTTCTCTCCTAAAATTTTCTCTCTGAATATAGAGGCTGTTTGGTGGATGTGGGAAGAATCCTTTTTCTTTTTGTGCTCATTGGGGGGCTTTCCTGGTCCAACTCCACTAAGAACACTGCAGAGAATTGGTAAAAAGTAAACGACCTTTGCTCGGACAGCAAGGAGTGGTGCTCCCATCCTGAGCCTTGGAAACTCACTGATAAATGGCACTCTGTATACAAACTTTACAATAATGACAAGCGTCACCTTACTTACTGAAACAAAATTGTATAAGAAGATCATTCAAAGCAGGTATAATTTTTAAAAGGTGTCAATTTTCTCTCACATCTGCTTTCTAAGGCATTTTTTAGAGAGTGAAGGATGCTTTTCCTCTGGCCCTTACACCAGAATGTTTTCTGAAAACCATTATGTGGGTAAAAGGCTGCAAAGCTTTGTGATTTCAGAGTCTGATATACTTTCATTCGGTAAAGCAGCCCGGTTGCATAAAGGCGGTGGTGCTGGGTGGGAACTGCT